TTAAACCAGCCATTGTTATTTTCATACTATAAAGATTTATTAACTTTTAACGCTTAAACATAAGCGGTAACACTATAAATATTATTTCTTTCATTGACTATACTTTGACAGATACATAACCTGAAAAGCCTTAAATGCTAAATTTTCAAAATACTGCGTTCCGTACGTGGTCACGAGGTGGGACTTTAAGGTGTGGAGCATACAGAGCTGCAACAAGTCAGTTTTAAAAAGACTTAAATCTTAAGTCTTAAGTCAATTCTAAAATTAAAATGATTTAAATCTTAAGTCAATTCTAAGATAAAGTTCAAATGATTTAAGTAGGTATTAAGTCTTTGAATTAAATAATTTTCTTTCAAGTCAAGTCATTTTCGCAAATTCTTAAATCAATATAAAGTGATTTAAGTCATGTTATGACTTAATTCCTTTAGTAAGTCGTTTTTATGACTTAAGTCTATATTTTTTATTTAAATCGTGATCTAAGAGTTAAGTCAATAAAATGACTTGAATAAAAAATTGTGATTTAAATCAAAATAATTACCCTTAAGTCAATACAACGATTTTTTAAATGTTACTAATAATAATTTTATGGTATTAATAATACTGATATTGATAATCTATTGTAGATACAGATGATAATAAACCACTATGTTAAGAATTTAAAACGATTTATTTTCAGAACAAAACAAAATAAAAACTTAAAACACATTTTTTGAATATATAGTAGACAATAAAAATAAAAACTTAAACCACCTTTTTTAGTAGAGTAGGAATACAGGGAGCATATGCTTTTTCTATGGGGAGCAGTGTTGCCAATTCTATGGAATGCTTCCCCACCAAAATGCACTCACTAAACCGCTAGATAACCGCCAAATTTGATATGGGCAAAAACCGCCAAATAAATCATGGCCAATAAACTGTGTTGTGTATTATCAAAACAAAATATTTAAAAATAATAGAACAAAATAATTTGTATAAAATTACTTGATAAATTGTTTTAGTAAATTTGCATCATAGAACCATATACCTATAGTTATATAGTTATAGGTATATGCATAGAACAAACCATGCATATGCATATTAAATAGAAATATTGACGTTGACTTTGTCTTTGTCTCTGTAATCTCTCATTGTCAAATTGTTAAAGAGCGTTCACCAAAGACAGGTAGGGACCTTTTTATTCAATCGTAGTGACCTACCGTAGGAAAAGAGCCTACTATCCCACACAAGCCGGCAACGCTGCAAAAAAGCAGAACTACCAACAGAAGAAAAATATAACCAGTTCTAACAATTTTCATGTAAGTTTGTTACATCACGATATCCCTTTGTTTAGTCTTTGAATACAATAGGTATTTAAAAGCATAATAAAAAGTAAAACTAGATTTTACACCCGATACAATGTTTTATAGTTAAAATTCCCGTCAGCCGCTAAAACGAATAAGTTGGTCACCAGATAGGATTTTAAACCGCTAGATTTAGCGGCAAAACCGCTAAATTGGCAACACTGACAGGGAGGCTACTTTTTTATATACATAAATGGGTAACTTCTAAACGGTAATAGATTCAAACTCTGTTAAAATAGATAAAAGTTAAAGCATTTTTCTTAAAATCGCTGTATTTCAAAAACTGATAAATTGTTGTTTTGTTAACTTTTTTTAGCTGGTTCAACATCCATCTAGAAAAAAAATATTCCTCCCTTAAGGGAGTAATGATGGGAAGTTCCAAACTCTCTATTCACGACCGCTCAAGATGTACGACTGCTCACGACCGCTCTCGACCGATTGTTTCCACTTTGCACTAAAAATCACAAATATGACCTACCTACTCACGAACACGACGAATTTTGGCAAACAAAATAACAAAATTAGAAATCCCCACTTTTTTTTAATTCATTTTAGACAGGACATTTTTTAATGTGGCCGTCAAACGGTTTCGAAAAGCTAACTTTACCGCGGCGGTTTTTTTATCCACTAGCGGTAGCAATTGTAGGTAGGAAATTAAAGGAGTTTTTGATCTGCTTCCGCGTGAACCCCTGGCAGTTCAAAAGAAAATGCCGCTGTTAAAAATTTATAAAAAAAATATATGAAAAATCTGACTTAAATATTTTCTACAAAGACTTAAATCTTTTTCAAAAAGACTTAAATCTTTTTTTGACTTAAATTGTTTCTATCTGACTTAAATCGTATATACTGATTTAAGCCTTTTATTTATGACTTAAGTTTTTTCTATTTTAAAAAAAATATTTAAGTCACAAATCATTTTGAAAATTACTTAAATTTTAAGTCTTAAGTCAGTTTTAGAGAAATGACTTATTACCAAATGACTTAAGTCATTAAAACGATTTAAATCAAAAAAACGATTTAAGTTTTCTGAGAGCTTGCAGCTCTGGGAGCATAGTAACTATGCATGCGCGACCAGTACCGCTACCGCTACTTTCTGAACTATAAATTGCAGAAAGTGATACCGCTACAGTAGTATTATGTAAAGCCTGATTTATAGATTGCCTTCCTTCCTCCCTTCCTCACGTAAAAGATTAAAGCTGGATTTATAGTTTTAAAGGTAACGGTAGAGGCAGCGGTAAAGGTAGAGGTAAAGGTAGCAGTAACTGCTACCTTTACCTCTACCTTTACCGCTGCCTCTACCGTTACCTTTAAAACTATAAATCCAGCTTTAATCTTTTACGTGAGGAAGGGAGGAAGGAAGGCAATCTATAAATCAGGCTTTACATAATAATGTATAAAAATGCATATTTCGTATTGTAAACAAAATCCTTAATTTACTGTTGGGGTTTTAATAAAACCAGTGTTGCCAATGACCGTGCAATTGCACGGTTTGCGTGCGTTTTCATGCCTGACCGTGCATTTTGCGAACATCGTGAGAAACCGTGCCTTTTGCGTGCGTTTTGAACATACGACATTTAGAAAAATACATTAAAAAAAAATGAAAATGCAATTACAAACTTGGCAACTTGACATTGTGGGCGGGGTCAGCAGTACAATTTTAAATTTGCCTGTATTTATAGTGCGTAAGTCACAAAAAAGATGGCGTGAGCAATGCTTACTGGGTAGAATCCTTCTACGCAGGCTCACTGAGCATGCGCCTTAAACACTCTAGTCACTAGAGTCTAGTAGAGAAGAGGGCATCTTTTTTTACTGCAAGAACATTAGACATTAAATGTTAATAGGTACCGTAAAACGGGACGATTTCGGACAGCCGGGGCCACTTCGGACATTATATATAATACCTTAAAGCTATTAAAAATTCGCGATTGGGACCTCTGACGTATATAGATGCGAATTCGGGAAAAAACTTCGTAGAAGATGGCTAAAGCTATGGCAAGAGGCACGTGGGTTCGGTTGTTAAGTGAAATAAGCTTTTTGCATCGTTTAGTCTGGAGTTCAAACTTTACTTATTTAATAACTTGGTAAAAGTAATTACTGGTGCCAGCAAGTAAATATGCACTGCACTGTATGATCAAAATAATATAGATTTTCGGTATTACGTAATTTTGTTGATAAATTATTTTTTTTTGGTTTACGTTCGTATTACATTAACTTTTATACAGGGTTGTAATACAAATATTTGCATGTTAGGGGGCGACTTCGGACATGGTTAGGGTCTATAAAAAAATGTTGAAGAGCAATTTTTACAGAAACTATACAGAGTAAAATATTTTTAAATATACTATAGTATTTAGTATAAGAAGAAATAAATTGGTTTTATTGTTTTGATCCTCAGAATTCAATTTTATTTTATATTTTGATAAATAAAATGCCCTTTTTCATTTGAATGAGTTTTTACCTAATTTCATGCTTTTTTTTCCTAATTTTATGCTTTATACTTTTTTTTTTAAAGCAATATTTTTGTCCGAAGTCGCCCCACCTTAAGGGGCGACTTCGGACAGACTTTGGCAAAAAAAAATTAGTATTTGTATGACTATTATAATTTTTACGTAAACTTATACCGGAAGGATGCCAAAATCCCCTGTAAAAAATTTAGTTCAAAAGAACAAACAGAACCGATTCAAAATTTGAAAAAACCTTAAAAATCGTCCGAAGTCACCCCGTTCGGGTATATATACGTAGATGTATATATACATCTACGTAAATAGGTATAGGTAGTAGTACTACCGTAGTACCATAATGATTGAACAGTGATAGTACTGATTCATCTAAGCTTACACCCAAATCACACCACATTAAAAAATTGCCCATTTATTATAGAAACAATATTTCTATGAAAATGCTTAAAAATTTAAAAATATAGTACTTTTATAACACAAACAAAAAATACTGCGTGCAAAACTTGTGCATTTTGATTCCTGGGACCGTGCAAAACCGTGCGTTTTGGAGCACTTCACTTCACTGTGCAATCTAACAAATGTTCATTGGCAACACTGGGTTTTATATATTTTTGTGTTTAACAACCTGTACCTATGTCAAAAAGAGGCAAATTGCCGTGATGATTCAAGGGATGAGTTTAACTCAGACTCTCTTGATTGAGACCCTTGTTCATATTAACTTTTTTTAAACATAATGAGCTGGCCAAATAGCTTTTAAATTAAGCTAAAGGCCATTACCCCTGAACACAGTTATATGTGTTCTTTGTATATGTGTTCAGATTTAAGAAGAAGAAGAAGAAATTGCCGTTCGACGCAGTGTTGCCAATTGCGGTGTAATTACACCATTTGGGTGTAATTTATTGACTGTGGTGTAATTTTCTAACATTTTTGAATGCGGTGTAATTTGGGTGTAATTTTGGACGGATCTTTTAAAACCTATTTTTATTTAAGGAAAGTTTTGTTTATGTTTTCACGCAGAAGAAATGCAATCTATGAAAACAAGCTTTTTTTTAATTTGAAAAACGGTGGGCATTGAAAATTAATAATATTAATAATAATAAATAATAGTTTGGACACCCCTGAATCATGATAACGTATTATTTTTGCAAAAAAATATGGGTTTCGAGCATACGACATTTTCAATGTTATAATTTTTGTTGGGGTGTAATGTGGTGTAATTCTGGAGAGTTTGGGTGTAATTTTGCCAAAAGCAATTGGCAACACTGGTTCGACGTTTTATGTTGTTGCGAAGCTACCATTAGGAGCCTACTAACAAGAACACTATTAAATTAATAGTATTAATATAATGTTCTTTGCTACTAAAGTAATTTAAGTAAAAATGCAAGAATTAGAGGATGGTGAGGTATTTATTTAATATTTTTAATATCTACCTATTATATTTTTAACCCATTTAAGATATCCACAGACTCGGATAATGCGTATACGCCGTTGGAAAGGCCTGCAAATTATTCACAAATACAACTGGCTAATAGATTTCCAGTGATTTTACCAGATACTGATAGTGAGGAGGAGTTTAGTGATTCTGATAGTGATTCAGATGTGCCATCAAAAAAAGTAAAAATAAGAAAACCAAAATTAAAAATAAAACCTGTGCAAAGGCATCTGACTAAAAAAAAGTATGATATATGGAGTTCCCGTATTAAAGATGATAATTTATCAGAAACATTGAATAACTGCGATGTTAGCGTAAAAGATAAATCTAGAAGTGTTGAAAACTATGATTATAAATTGGCTTTAAGAATGCGTGAGGAAAGAGAAGACCAGATCTTAGAGAATAGGAAAAACAATAAACGTACAAGGGATGACAGAAGTAATGTGTTTTTAAGGCAAATACAAAGATCTAAAAGTAGAGAAAAGGTTTCAGGGACACCAAGGAAAATCTTGGATTTAACTGTGAAAGTAACAGATTCCCCAGAAGATATTGCTAAAGATATTGCTAATAAATTATTGGAAGAAAAAGAGGAGTTAATTTGTATGTTATTTTTCATGTTTTAAATGTGATAAATTACCTACCCAGTTACATATTTATATTTTAGTAAAAGTTGTAAATACTATGGGCAAAGAAAAAGCATTTGAGTTTTTTAATGAAACCAAAAAAATGGAACTTAAAGGTGGAATGTTAACAATGGTATTTAAAATTTTATATAATTTTTCAGTATGTTCATATTTTTACACTTGAGTATTTATTTAATTATAGAATGAAACAAGAAGAAGGACCCCAGGTGGAGTTTTTTTATACTTTGTAAGAAATGATTACCATATAACTTTAGATCAAAAAATGGCAATTTTTGGTGATGACAGACAAGCCTTCAGAAAAGAACAAAAGCAAAAAAAGAAAGAAAAACATAACAAACTAAGGTTGGAAATTGGTAAGAACACCAATAATATTTTATTAATATTTTTTTCAATACCATTGTTAAAAAGTCAGCTTCTTTGTTGATATTTAAGTGTCAAGTAGGTCATTTTTGACATGTCAAACTATTTTGCAGTATTCAGCACCTGATACCCTAGACTGGTTTGGTCTAGGCCTGATGCTACCTAAACTTAAATAATTTTTATCCGAAATCGGCAGTATACTTTATAAAGTAGTCAACAATCGGCAGTAAAGAAAAATAAATTGGCAGTAAAGTAGAACTTTAGGGCGATTGCACGCGCAATGTAATTTTTTCTATCAGTTTTAAGCAGGGCACAATGAAACAAAAATATACTAAAGTTAATCATTAATGATGAAATTAGTTGAAAAAACTAAAATTGTTTATCTCAGGTACTTATTATTTAAAAAAGTATGGTCAAAAATAAGCAATTTTCCGATGTTAAAATTTATACGCAAAGTAGCATTTTAATCAAGGTGGCTTTGACCTATAACAGTAAGTGACGCTTCCGAAAACGTCCGTTTTGATGAGACGCCACTATTAGTGAACATATTACTGAATATTTTTTTTGCAAGTAAGTAAACTGTTCTAGAAATTTAAATTCATAATATTATTGTATATTTGTCCCATCAGTAACGATATTAAATGATACGTTTTAATATCGCAAGTATGCAACTTGCCCAGTTTTTAATTAATATTAAAAATGTTTGTCCCTATTTCACATTTGCTTACGCGATAAAAATATATGTCCCAGATTTTTGTATTTCTTTTTTTTTAAGTTGGTCCCGTCAGTAACAAAATGTGATAATTTTTAGGATGGCAAAAAAAACGTGCTTGACAAAGAAAATACGAAGCGGCAGCTTAAAAAATATCGCAAAAAAATTTATGAAAATCCTGTTTTAAAAAAGACCTGTCTAAAAATGCTTCAAGCGCAAAAAAGTACAGAGAAAAATTAAAAAAGTTGGCGAAAAATGATGGTGGGTTTAAAATGCAGCAAAAAATTAATGAAAGAGAAAGGAAAAGAAAGTTTAGAGAAAATAAAAAACAGCAAACAAAAAAATTTGAATACCTGATATATTAAGTTCACACTATTTTAAGTTTGTTGATGGTACTCATATGTTGATTAAGAAGCACTATGAATCCGAAAAATCAAATTTGTTCAAATGCTTTTAAATTTTTTGCAGTTGTTATTATCATGTTAAAATTATTTTTGAAGTTATTTAGTTAAATTAACCAATTACACATTTGTTTCAGTGTATAATAAATAATAATAATAATAAATGTCCCATCAGTAATGTCCCGTCAGTAACGAGAAATCAAAATGCATTGCCTACATAGATTACACTGAAAGATGAGTGATGTCAAAATAAGTTATACTAACTGCATCTGCAACTTGGTTCATCTATACTTTTCTTCAACATTATTCTGTTTCAGAGAATTATTCTCTTCTAGTAACCAGAAATTTTTTTGACCTTTTTCTTGTCCCATCAGTAACAACATTTTATTGATTTCTAGTTCGTAAAATAAAAAACATTTTAATAGCTCTGATACTGAAAATTTTACACAAACTATAGCTTTAATAGTTACCCAAATATAACCGTCATTAGCCCATTACTGATAGCAACAAATATAAAAAAATAGTTAATTTTTTTTCCGATTGTCCCATCAGTAACGCGTGCAATCGCCCTTTAATGCCGATTTAATACGTGTATTGTATGCAACCAAATTGGTTGAACCAATTATACATTTTAAGATGTGTCTACTGCTCCTTAGCAGCAAAATAATATAAATAATATTTTAAAAAAGCACCGTCGCGGAGGTCGATTGGACCCTTTCATAAAATGTTGTTTATATTAATATTATTAATTAGATTAAAAAATCGCCGCGGCGGGCAAATTATCATAACCGTTTATTCAAATGACATTTGATTTGATCATCAATATTAATTATTAGTATTATAAAATATGATTTCGGATAAAATTTAATATGCACGTCGGGCCGAGGTCCTCGGCATTAAAGTCATTTTTTATCACTCACGTGGTTATTTGTATAATTTCCACATTTGTAATAAAAAATATGACTTTACTGCCTTGATACATTAATAACTTTTATTTAAGAAAACAATTAATTTAATTTTTATTGTTATTTATATTAATATTTACATTACAATTTATTCCTTGAGGGCGTTAATAAATTTAAAAGATAATTTGACATACCTACATGTCAAAATAAAATAATTCTAAATGTCATAATTTTTCTTCACATTGTAAGTGGTTATACGCTAAAGAATCATCGCTAGTAGCGCCACCACGTGGCGTGGTGTATATATATATATATATATATATATATATTAGGGTGTTTAAAAAAAATCGACTTTATCTTTTTCTTCAAATGGTCGGCAAATTCTTTCAGAGTATGTCAACACAAAGACCTCGTCAAAATTTGAGCTTTTAATTTGAAGATTTAGAGGTCTCGGATCGCAATTTTCTATTTCCCATTTAAATAACATGGGAATTTTTTTTTTAACTTTGAAATTTTATACGTCTGAATCAAATCAACTTATGTCAAGGAGCATCTTAGATTTTCACAGTAAATTTAACGCTTTACAAAAAAAGTCTCCTATCATTTTTCTATATATTGATTCCTTCCAGAGTTATTCGAGGCCAAAGTTTGATTTCCATCGAATTTTCACGTTTTTTTAACATTTATGGTACAATTATCATTATACGGGTGTCCCGAAATTAGGGGGCCAAACTTAAACAGTGCATTATTCGTCTAAAAATAACACTTTTTTTGTTTAATAAACATGTATCAAAAAATGCTCCCTAAAGGAGCCACGGCCCCCTGAATAGGAGCCTAAGAGGATAATTTTTTTTTAAACTTCCTAGAGGGTTGAACATGAACAAATGAATTTTCGGTACTTTGGTAATTTTGACATGCTGAATCTAGATCTATGATCAAAACTGTTAAAATTTAATCATAGGCGTAACATTTGGAGGGGGCAAAGTTACAAAAATAGCCCCAACTTTTTTCTGGGTTAATAATTTAATTTTTTTTATGAAATTATGAGAATTTATAGTTTTTACGAAAAATAGGTACTCTTGATTTGAATTGCTCAGATGCACCATTTTCGAGAAAAATGCATTTATAAATTACTCTGCATATTATACACATCTCATATTTTTATTAAAACTTTTTTGTTTTTTTGTTTTTTTTTTACAACACTTCCTATGTTTCAGATATAAATATGTGATTTTTTTACTACATGATGCTAAAAGTTGAAAAAACGAGAAAATTCGATGGAAATCAAACTTTGGCCTCGAATAACTCTGGAAGAAATCAATTTATAGAAAAATTATAAGAGACATTTTTTATAGAGCGTTAAATTTACTATAAAAATCTAAGATGTTCCTTGCCATAAGTTGATTCGATATAGACGTATAAAATTCCAAAGTTAAAAAAAAAATCCTGTTATTTAAATGGGAAAAGGAAAATTGCGATCCGCGACCTCTAAATGTTCAAATTAAAAGCTCAAATTTTAACGAGGCTTTGTTTTGACATCCTCTGAAAGAATTTGCTGACCATTTGAAGAAAAAGAAAAAGTCGATTTTTTTGAAACCCCCTAATATATATAATATCAGCTGTCGAACGATTGTTTTTGAGAATAAGGCCAAAATTTTTGAATATATCAAGAAAAAAACGTGGAACAATTTTTTATGAGGGTGTTTTTCGAGTGGAAATCCTGGGTTACGTTTTTACAGGGTTGCCACTTATCTAGAAAACCTGTAAATGTCAGGGAATTTAAATTTTTTAGAAATGTCAGGGAATTGTCAAAAAAATCTACAAAGTCAGGGAATTCCTAAGTCGGTCAGGGAATTGATTATTTTTAAATAAAACTGGTCAACAAAATTTTCATAAAAAAAAAATTATGTTAACGAGTGTAATTTAAATTTAATTTATTCAAAATATGGCAGCGCTATATGTCAAACTTATCACTATAACCTTAGAAGTCTATATCACGACTTATCACTATAACCTTCTAAGACTATAACAAACTATTTTTATGTTTAGGGTGATTAATATTTGTTTATTTTTTAAATGGTAAACATAATTAATAAACTAATTAATTAATCAGTAAAAGCATAATTAATAAATTAATTAATTAACCAGTAAGAGACTTTGAAAAATCATTGGTCATGTGGGGAGTGTAAGGAAGAAGAGTCATCTTCCGAAGATGACACAGATATTGAAAGTGAAGCTGAAGATAACTCTGGAAGCCAGTCTGAGGCAAATACTAAAAAAGAATGTGCAAAACCTAAGAAAAAATATACCTCAGGAGATATAATGAAACAACTGGAAACTATAGAGACCAAACACGATAAACTCCTTAATAAATTTCAAGAAATCCTGGAAGAAAATTCAAGGCTCAAGGAAGAAATAAAGGGCTTGAAAACTAAGCAAAAACAAACTGCAAGTAGCATAATCGAAACTAACAAAACAAAACAGGAAAAACTGAGCAAGAACGTAATAATACAGGGATTGGAGAAAGAAAACACTATAGACTGCAAAAAATTGGTAACAAAAATTGGAGATGGATGCAACTCCAAGATAACAGAAAATGATATAGAACAAAAAAAATAAAGAAAGACAGAGGGGAAGGCCCCAGGTAGCCCGGGCATCGCGGCCGGAGTCAGCTAACTGCTTCCGGTCACGATGTCCGAACCACAACCCACATGCCCCCGCCAACCGCTCTGTCTCCCTCCCCACTGTGCCTCAAGGCTGCTTTATTTCATAAAATTTTGTTTGACAATTATGGTTAGTAGTACATTTGTATAATTTTGATTTAGATTGAGTAGCCAGTTGGCTATTACAAAATGTTTCGAAAGATTAGTAGAGTAATTCTATGCTTACATATATGGGAAGAGGGAAGATAGGGAAGGAAGGAAAGAGAACCGATCCGGCGCGGAGTGAGCACATGATGACCGAGACACCAAGCA